TTCCAGCCAGCATGGGAGCTGCCACCCAGGACATCTGGAGGGCACCCGGTTGGGGGAGGCTGGGCCTCAGCTGCCAGGAGATCTGCCAACGCTCTGCCTTCCCGATGCTCAAAAGAGCGGGTTGCAGGGGGGCCGTTCCAGGAAATGCACCAAGAGGCTCACGTGTCTGAGAAATGTGGCAAAAGATCCTGGTTTCTACAGTTACATCAGCTAAAAAGATAAAACAGTATTTGAACCTAATTTCCAGAATATTTATGAAATGCAGAGGAGCCAAACCATTGAACTGGATTTTGAAAAATTCAACAAGATTCTTGTACACACAGGGAAACCGATTTAGTGTTGCAGAAAAGCTGGTTTATGGAAGGAGTCAGTGGCTCATGGTCTTCCAGATCTTTTGGTCTACAACCCCTATCATCCATCACCATGTGCTAAGCTGATTACTGCTAGTGGGGGAGCTGAATCCTAAGATTCCTCTTCCTCCTCCTCTGGAAGACTACAGGGTCTGCCTTACAGGTTTTTGTTCTCTTGTTTTAAAACACCCTTAAACAGGAATAAGTTAAGCTATCCTTCTGTGCACTTCCGTGCTTGAGTAGCTCCTTTTGGAAGCTGGTTATCTTCAGCCAAAGTGACATGCCTGAAAGGGGATGGTGACCCCGATCCGCAGCTCCTCACACAGGCAAGGACAAAGCAAAGCGACCCCAAAACAAATAAAAAGACACCGTAAGTTTTTTCTTGCAAGAATGACTTAAGACAATCTTAAGCATGTGCCAGGTCACCCTGGAAGCAGACCTGTTTCCCCAAACCCAAACCCAAACCTGCACCCAAAGGGCGGGATAAGTTGGCAGTGGCTCACAAATATAGAAACATAGAAACAGAGTGAGTCAGAAGGGGCCTCCCAGGCCATCCAGTCTGACCCCCGGCTCCAGCCGGCTCCGCTCAGGACATGCCCACCATGTGCACGTCCAGCCTATCCTTGAACACCCGCACCGAAGGGGCCTCAACGACCTCTCGTGGAAGCCCATTCCACACCCTCGGGGTCCATCCTGATATCCATCCTGATGCATCAGACTACAACACCCCTAATCCCCAACCAAGTGGGCTGGGGTGGCTAGGAGTCGGGATCCAAACTGTCTGGAGGACATCAGCTTTCCTACAACACAAATAGTCCGGGAAGCTTCAGTTGTGCCATTGCAGGCATGAACGGGCCAGGGGACTGCCCAGGATGAGGGTCTCCAGTGCCGCCCCCTTGGGCCCCCCACTTTTTATGCGTTCTGTTTTTTTAATAGACACACATCGATTGGCATGAAATGCACCCAAGTTCTAGCAACAACGCCAGACCAAATATCCCCGTAAAAATCCATTGGATCTTTGGATGTCATCCATTCAAATACTGAAAGTCTTGGATGGCGTTTAGCCTTCCAGTGTTTCAATACCAGACTTCTAGCTGTCAATGGGGCACAATGAACTGATTTATGCTGGCCATTCATGGATATCGACGAAGCAGGGAAACGACTGAGAAGACTATGGAGAGCATGAAGTTGTTAATCGCCGTATCTATTTCCGATTTCATTGCAGCCCCGACTTCTTTTCCTTCCCTCCTGAGAGAGAACGTTGAGTTGGAGCCCTGCTGTACTGGAAGCGCTCCAATACTTTCCTTGTTCTGATACCCAATTTTCTCTCTATAAAAAAGTAATCTGAACCCCACCCCCCAGAAATTCTCATTTTGTTATTATTTAATTTATACTCTGCCGAACAGCTGAAGCTCCCTGGGCGGTCCCCAACAAGCACTTTAAAAATACACCATATTGAATCATAAAAAGGTTACAGTACAACATTTAAAACCAACTTCAAAACAGATTTTAAAAATGAAAATAACTTGAAGAAAATCTGAGAACCTGTTTAACACTAGCAGATCCCAGGATGCCCTGCAATAGAGGACAGGTTTAGCTGGCCCTGAGAAGACAGAAAAGTTGGTGCCAGGCAGAACTCAGTGGGATGCTCAGTGCAAAATTGGGTGAAATTAGTTCTTCTCTAGCTCTTAAGTTTGGCCTCAAACCTTGCAAGCACCACTTTTATTTTCCCAAGCTTGCTGCAGCTTTTGAGAAACGTTAGAAAGAACACATCACACGTCTCAATCAATCTGCTTTTCCGTAATGTCATTCCCCCACCTTCTCATGAAGAGATGCTCAACAGCCATTCAGTCACCAGCAGGAAACACTGAAGCAGTGCAACACAGGATGGCCCTTGGTGGAGATCTGGTCCATTAATGGAACCTCCATGTTCAGAAGCAGCGTAGCATTGGATACTCACTCCCTCGAGGCACACGGCTCGAGGCACAGAGGCCCGAATAGACCGATGCCTGATCTGATGGGAGTCTCCCAACAGTGGTGTCTTTGGGCCTAGCCATGGACTCTTAGATCGGCTTTGCTGTCGCAAGGATAAAATAGTGATGAGACGGACTGGTGAGCAGTCTTGGGTTCCTTGCAAGAGGAAGAAAGGGGGATATAATGTAATAACAACACGTAAACTGGTCCAATGAAATGGAATGAGAACTGCTTATTCCTTCTTGTCCAGGATCAATGAACTCGATTCATATTAGGATACCCAAGAAAGGTCACCAAGATCATTGGGTGCTGTTCTTCTGGTGGTTCTGTATGGACTTACGGCCCAACAGGAGTCTACCCAGAGAAAAGTCTTCATCGTAGCAGCCACTGTTTTCTGGAACTCCTTGGCTCTGGAGCTGAGACAGACTTCAACATTATATTGCTTCTGGTGCCTCCTGAAAACACATTTATTTCAGGAATCCACAGTTTTATTGATATGATTCTATCGATTTAGTTTTGTGTTATTGTGTTTATCTTTTACTGCCCTGACATTTCCATACTCGAATATGGAGTAGCATATAAATCTTGTACATAAACATAACGTAAACATTGGAAACCCAACTCCATTCCCTTCATCATTCCCAGAATTTATGGCTATTGTCAAGGCCAACCACACAAATTGAACCAAGTTGATTGATCATTGTCAGAACAATTAACGTACAGGGCTTAGAAAACATTGCCGGAGTGATGAAAAATTTTGACAGAGCGGGAAGGGCAGACTTCATGATCTACTCCTTTTTTGAACTGGAATCCCCGTATCCACCGTCTGCAGCCTGGTGCGAGACATACACTTAGAAGGAAATGATTCTGAGCCCAGGGATTTGGTTCAAAGGCAAGAGGAGCATGTAACGCTGAGTTCTTCCACACAAAAATCAACCCCTTGGCTACCTTCTTCGCTTCAGCCGTGCAATTTCAGCTGGGCCGGCATGTCGTTTTGCTGCCCCCTCTGTTCCATTCTGCCAGAGCCAGAAGCCCTTGCTAATCTACTGCAAGCCCCCAGGTACCTATCATCTGCCCACCCCTACCCTAGAAATGTGTGGCCTTTCAGATCTTGCCTGACTACAATGTCCATCTTCCTGCACTGCTCGGGGCTGAAAGGAGTCACAGTCTACGAGCATCTGGAGTGCCACACACGTCTTTCCGCCTGTGCTGATGGAAAGGAGGGTGTGGAGGGGAGAAGGGTTGTACCAGGGCTTTTTCTGAAGGCAAACGATGCAGAAACCAAACCAGGCTCGGACCTGCTTACTGCCAAGGTAGGAGGCCCCTTTCTTGGCTCCTGGGAACCAGTTTGACTCCCATGATGGGAGAAAGGGTGAGCATAAATGCACTGAAGAAATAGGGATGTTTTTTCAAGCAGAGATTTTTGCCATTTTTCCGAAGAAACAGCTGAGTTTTGGTTTCAAGCCCTCTCAAAGCAGGTTTTCTACCTCTTAAAAGCGGCTCACTTCTCCACCTAGAGGACTGGGGAAAATGCACAAGCAGCCCGAGATGTGCAGGGCAGCCGGGCTGCTTCAGCCTTTCAGTGTGTGAGCACTTTTACGAGCAGCTAAAGGCAAATGCCGCACCATTCCAGCAGCGGCGCAGCTGGAGGAGTCCCGAGAACAAAACTTTACGCAGGAGTCCTTGGAAAGCAATTCTGCTTCCATCGGGAGTCTTTGGAAAGCGTTCACTTCGATTTGACAATGACAGGAAAATGTGGAAATGACGATGGGCAGGCAGTATTGGATCGATACCATTTTGGGTTTACGAACTTTTCTTAAAAGGGACTTTGAACAGAGGTTTTGTGTCTTGATCATGCCGATTGCTTCAGAGAGCTCTCCTTTCCCCACTCCCCCTTTGACCCAAGTTTTGAACTTTCAGTACGCCCTAAATGGATTTAAACGTACGTGTTCAAGTGCTGGCTAAGGAATGCTGGGAGTTGTAGGACTTGGCTTATCACATGCATAGCTCATGCAACTAATTTTTAAACAAACTCAGTTTGACAAAATGCTATTTTTTTTTAGATCAATGGATCAGTGGGGCAACAAAAAAGCCAGTGTTCCTGGGTTTGTTTGTTTTTTTTAGCAGAGTTCAGAAGCTTGCTACACAGTTTAGATGAATAATGCAGAATACAATCAATGGGAAATTGTTCTGTTATTTTAAAGTACAAAACAAGTTTTTTTGGAAAATAGCAGACTAATCCCCTTCATCCTCCAAGCATCATATGCTCACGTGTCCAAAATGGTTTAACAGTCATCCATTTATTTGCAAAAGTGAAGATATCATCCAGTTCTTGATTAACAATGCATTGCTCCCTTCCTGCGGATCCTTGATGCATTAGTTTCTTCAAGTACGATGCAATTGTTCAACGCATGGAAAAGTGTAAACAGTTCCTTTATTATATTAACAAACAGTTCACCCAGTTCTCCTATCAGACTTCCCAGTGATCCATTTCTTTCTTGTTTTTTTTACAATAACATAGAAAAAATAGACAGGGTTTTATTTTGGTTTCTTTTGCATAGATAGCCAATAAGTTTTCAAGCAATTATCCAACCCCAACTGCCTTCCCAGCCACTCAGACAAAATATTGTAGCACCTTTGGAATCAGAGGCAAAAACATTTATTTTACAATAGGGCTGTGCAGTTTTGTGTTTTATTATTGATTTTTTTTAACAAACCAGTTCTATAGAGTATTTTTATGTGCTGGAAAATATAAAGACTACAGATTTTTACACTGACATTTCCAAATTGCAACTCCCCAATACAAAGCCAGGGTCTTTGAGATGCGATTGTTCCCCAAATCATCCTTAATCATAAATAATGCAATGACATAGGATTGTATACACTAAAGTTTGAAACTCTTCAAGATGGAGAGGTTCAGCAATGAAAAATCTTTGCTCTTTTTTAAAAAAATACAGTAAGAAGGAAACAGAGGAAGCAGAACTGTCTGGGTTATCCAAAATAACTCTAGCAATTACATCCTTGCTGACAATCAACCATCCAAAAACCTGCACTTTTTCTCTTTTTTCATTTTGACAAAATATATTCTGGGCACAGCCAGAGTTTGCCAGTTTGACCATAATTATATCTGTAAGATGTTTTTCATGTATCCAAGGCGTTCTGCTTCGCAGCGTGGGTTAAAACTTAATACCTAGTCATATAAACTATATTGGGCACAATTTAAGCCACTGCGCTTCAGCGCAACAGAAATTCCCGTAGGCTTAGCAAGCCTTTGTCTCCTTCCTCCTGCTGCCTTTTCGCATGAAGGCCACGCAAAATCCCATCCAGTCTCCCCCCTCTGCTCAGTGCAAATTACTCATGGTGCAAAGCATAAGTAACTTTATTAAGTGAGAGGAAAAGCTAGACAGGGACCCAGGAGCTAAATGTGAGCCACCTCATTCCCTTTGCGCTGGCAGTAGACGTGCATGCAGAGAAGGGAAACAGAGGTCTGCCGAGTGTAAGGGAATCCTCCATGCACAGGTGCTGCACCTGTGAGCTGGTTCATGTCCTTTTAAGTCCACCCACCCACCCCTGAAACCCAGCATACAACCGACAACAGAACTTCAGGTTAGGCAACATGCTAGTTGCTAATGAAATCAAGTTTCAGTGTCTGGATCACCATTTTTCCTTGTTTTATTTTATCTGCACATGGAAAAACCAGACATAAGATCCAACTTGCCACCATATAAAACCACATGCCCATTTTTAGAAGTATTATTTTTCACCCTCATGGCTTCATAAAAACACGTTTCCTGCTTTGTTAAACTAGATGCGTAGTAAGAGCTCATAAAATAGCAAGACACATCAACTAGAACAGATGTCCAGGGCTGGAATTTTAGTGCTTGCAATATATGCAGATCACTAATCCTGTTCCTGCTTAGAATCCGAAAATATTCAGTGAAGCCTGTGATACTCTTCATGCAGAAAATCATGAAAGTTGTCAGCGCTACTTCTACCAAGCAGGTGTGCAGTTGGATGCAGCTTTTACCCTGAAACTGCCCATGTGTGTGCGTGTCTGCGTGTTTCTAGAGGATGCTATCTTCCATCTGCACCCTTCCTGGGTTTCTGCACCCTCTTCTCCATCCTTTTTGTCTTAACATGGATGAAGGAGGACAAAGAAGAAAGAAGTGGGCAATGCCTTGGATCGGCAGCGCTGGCAGCCCTCTGTCTGGAAAACACTCTTGCAACGGACCATGGAGTTTTGGCTAAGCTCAAACACACACGGTGCGATGAGCTATCACCGGGGTCCACAGGACTGTACAGAAATGAAGACAGCTCCTGCAGGCGGCAATGAACTCGTCCAGGCTCACGACACATTGCAGAGAAGGAAAGGCCAAGGTACCCCCGTCTTATTCCACGGTTTAGCTACAGCCAACCAGCGATTTCATGTCATGCATAAGTGGGCCTTGGAAGAATTCTTTTCATGGGCTCTTAAACCTGTATCAGCTTCTGCAATGCTGGGCAATGGGTCTGAACTACTACCAGTCAAACAACTTTATTTGCTCCTGTTAAGGTCCTTCTTCCAGGAACAGAACCTAGTGGCAAAGAGAGCTTAGTTTTTCAAGGACTTGGCAGATTCAGTATCACAGAATTCATCAGAATGGGGTAGGATTCCAGTGGGAAGAAACCAAAAACAGAAGTTCCATTGTCCATTGGATGTGGGCTTTCACAAGTTACAAGACACTTTAATGATCAACATTCATTCACAGACATTTAAGGCAACTGGTTAGAGATAAAATCACTGATTTTTATAAAAAAGTGAACATTGAATGAAAATGGTCTGCATTATGTACAAACAAGAGCGCATAAAACTGTCAGAAGGTCATTTCGCACTAGAAAGGGCAAGATGATGGAAACAGGCAGCTGAGGAGATCAGAAGTTTAATACAAGCTAAAAGAACCACCAGTGGTTTTCTCCTCCTTAATTTCAACCGTTCCCATCATACTTGACCTTACTACAACCTGAATACTTTTCCCTGCAGACTGTATTTGAGGCTCAGAAGGCCAGAAATACAGTGGAAAAATACTGCTCAGAGAACATGCTTTGGCAGTACAACCGTTTCATTAGTCTGAGTTCAAAAACAAAATTAAAGAACACTTTGATTGAAGGTAAGCTTAATGGACTGACCAGAATCCATACTTTAAACAACTAAAAAGGAAAAAAAACCACCACCCTAGTTGTTGGCATTTCTGCACCGCCAGGTTCCTGGCAAATGAAACATACAGTAATAAGGTAGGAGCTTCCGGTGGGCGAACAAGGTGTCGATGGCATATGGATGGCTAATCGTTTGCGCCACATGGGACTTGACTGCTTTATACTACACTGCAAGCGATCTGCAAACACTGCGTGAAATTATATTATGGGGTGAAAGGTCTGTCTTCTACTGTGCCTGTGATATCCTATTTCAGTCGCCCTCGACCTGATGACCATCAGACATGATGGACTGCCAGCTCCTATAATTCTCAGCTGTGATGGGAACTGGCAGTCGAAGGCATCTGCAAGGTGCCAGGTTGGGGAAGGCTGACTGATTCGTTGTCTGCAGAAGCTGGCCTGCTTCTCTTGTGAATGAATGGGTTCAGTTCAGCTGCTCTTCAGTGTTTGAAGCTGAGAACAATCTCTCTGTCTCAGCTCCTTGAGGCTACTACTGGCCAAAACCAGGTAAAAGGCAAGTAGCGACAACAAGCCATTTCAGCATTTGATGATTTGCTGGGCTAAAGCACCAAACCTTTTTGGACAAAGCCTGTCTTGTATGGCTAATTGGAGCAACTATGGAGTTCAGGTGGTGAAAAGGGGGGGGGGGGGGGGGAGCTGGCCTTGGGTACAGAAAAGGAGGGCGAGAAGGAAGGAGAAGAGAGATGAATATCATCAGAAAAGGATTGTGCTGCTGGGTGAACCCTCTTTTAGCTTCAAGTAGTTCAAAAAGGTTATGGAAGTTAAGACATTTTTGATATCAGAAATTCTTTCTCCAAGGACAAACAGTTATTTTTTCTTTACCCTGAACAAATTCAGAGGCTGCGGATGGGCATATGAGATAAATGACAGCCCAAGTAATGGAAAATTATTTCAGAAACTTGGACAAAACTACGAGGAACTTCCAAGACATCTGTTCTAATCATTCCAGAGTTTCAGCTAAGAAGCAACAACTCGAGGTCTAATCTGAGGGATGCTAGAACAACGTTTCGCCATGGGAAGCATAAAATCAGGGCCTGAATAGTTGTATAGAAAGAAGCTTCAAAGCAAGAAGAGGGTCTTCAACCCTCAACAATGAAGCACTGAGAACAGGGGGGCACTACCCCAATTGAGATAAAAATGTCTGGGTTTGAGTAAGCCAGCCAATATATTTGATGGGTGTCGGGTTGATACAAAAAGGGGCAAGCACTTGGTGGCCCGTATCTTGCGTTTTGTAATGAGAGCTTTAGAAGCACAGGCACAGCGGCCAGGAACAGTATAACAGCCAGGGTTCAGCTCGCTTTGGTGAACCTTCAGCAGCGGGCAGTCAAGAACGAAACACACAGGCACAGCAAGAACGGGAGCCGTCTCCGGGGACCGACAAGCTGCGCTCGTGTGCTGCCTTCTCGCTTGTTCTGTTCGGGCTTGGGGCTCAGATCTTGCAAACAGGGTGACTGAGGCCTCCGTCAGGAAAGAATTCAAGCTTCAAAAATTAACCCTTTGCCACCATGCTTTTTTCAGGATGTCACGAGTGACATTGTCCGAAACACCTGGCAGTTGTGCGTTTGCAGACAGAAAAAAGACCCCCTCCCGAAGGCGCGAAGGAACCACGTGTCACGGTGTGCGTGTCCCGTTCCATTTTGCGGCGTTCCATCAGAAACGCAGATTGATTATCTTAATCTGTGTGCGAACCATGACCCGCGAGTAAGACAATGGTGCCACCAACCTTTGTGTAACCAGGCTGACTTGGATTCCTGCAACTGTCCTCTTGAACCTTTCAAATGGGACACAACCGAAGCTGATACAACTCATCATCCCAGAGACAGAACCTCTTTGAACCGCCTCCTTTGTTTCCATATATTACAGTGCTCTATAAAAGATTTCCAACCTTTTCTTCTTAAAGCATTTAAACAATACAAGACTAAAAGATGTCTGGAAATACGGCTTATACAAAAATGATTTTTTTAAAATCTCAAAACAACATTCAAAAAGGCACTTCATCATGGAAGAAAGAAAGGTTAGAGTCAGATCAACTGCTCTATAAGCGGGATGGCGTGGGAGAAATGATCTGCATAGTGGGATGGCTTGGGCAGGGAAGGGGTTAAGTCAACTTGCTGAAACAACATCAAGCTTTTGATTTTTTTTGGCATGTTTTAAGAAAAAAGCAGGTTCTGTAAAATGTGTCCATTTATGAAATTCATTAAAACAGTCCCATTCAAAATAGCTTCTTTTAAATTTTCTTTTTCTTTTTAAAAAAAGTAGTCTTATCACCTTTCGGCATCTGCATTCCCATGATTGAGTAGCGTTATCAGTTCACGATTGTCCTTTTGTGTGCGGCACTCACTCGAAGAGGAAGAGCGAGTGCGCGGTTGCTCATGCGCCTCTTTGGGGTGCCGCGTCCGACTGGATGTCTTGGGAGAGGCTGCACTCAGGCAGTGACTCGGGGCTACCTGGGAGGGCTACCTGTTGCACAGTTTGTGAAGCATACTGTAGACTTCCTCCTCTTTGCTTAGTCCTTCAAAGAAAGGAATAAGGTCTCGCAATTCCGTGTCTGTCATGTCATCGAACCAGGACTGCACGGGTACCTGAAACAAACACAGAGTCTTAGCATGAAGCAAAAGGGACCTTGCCAAATGAAATGCAAACACCTGAGCAAGTCGCCACAGCTGAGACAAGCGAGAAACGATGCTACCAAAGGAGATGGACCTACCCAACAGCCATTGTGCTTTGAGAGGTGATGAGAAGCTGCTTTTGCCCGTCTTTTCTACCCTGCAAATTCCATGACATTTCATTCACTGCTCCAAGAACTAGCCACCTGGAAAGATCCATATGCCTATTTTTCCACTGAAACGTCCGTATTTTCTGCAGGATAACAGTAGATGCTCCAAAACTGAACAACTACTGATGCATCTCACAGGGGAGAGCCATTTTGACTAATTGGAAGGATGGAAATCTAACAGGCAAACAAATGCTGGCATGTTTTAGGCATTTACTGGAAATTAATCTGCTCACTGGACAACTCCCAATAGCCTCTGCCAGGACGGCCAGTGGTCAAGTTCCCAAAAACAGCTTCCTCACCCTTGGATTGCAATACCTCCCAGAGCTCCAGTGACCCGGCTCCCTGCCATTTTGTTCAAACGAGTCAATGAAAATGCTGATCTATTGTGTAGTTGCTGTGAAAAAGGCAAATGCTGTGTTGGGCTTAATTAGGGAAGGAACTGAAAGTCCAACTGGAAAGATCATGCTTGGAACACTGCAAATAGTTTTGGTTACTGCTCTTAAACAAAAAGGGATGCTGTGGAGCTGGACAACAGGAAAGGAAGGGCAACTAAAGGAGCCAGTGCGGCGTAGTGGTTCAGAGCACGGGACTAGGACTCAGATGATCCGGGGTTTAGTCCCCGCTCAGCCATGGAGCCCATTGGGTGGCTTTGGGCCAGTCACGGACTCACAGCCCAGCCTACCTCACAAGGTGGTTGTTGTGGTGAGAATGAAGTGGAGAGGAAGGGGAGAATTATGTAAGCTGTCTTGCGTTCCTGCCAAAGGAAAAAAAGGCAGGGTATAAATATAATAAATAAAAAATGAATAGAATTTCAAGGCGATGGAGCAACTCCTTCAGGAGGAAAAGTTACAAGATTAGGACTGTTTGGTTTCGAAAATGGCAAGTTAATGGGATGTGGGGACATTTTTCTCCCTCCCTCATAATATTCTAGAACTCCAGTGGGGTCACTCCATGAAGCCAAGCTGCAGAAGACTCAGGAAGGATCAAAGGGAGCCATTTTTCATACTGCATGGCTTTAACTGGGGACTGGACAACTTTGTGGCGGGCAAAACTATCCATGGCTACCAGTCCTGATGGCTACATGCCACCTCCAGTGTCAGAGGCAGGAGGACCATATGCACCAGTTGCTGGGGAACATGGGTGGAAGGGTGTTGAAATGGTACCTTGTGTGTGAGTTTTCTGAGGGCAGTGGGCTGGCCACTCTGTGAACAGAATAACTGGACCAGAGAGGCCCCTGGCCTGATCCCCCAAGGCTGGATACATCCTTCATTTATAAAATCCACTCTCGTTTGGCCCTTATCAGTCCTTATCTAGTTGCCTGCGGTGAAAATGCAGGAGAAAAGCAGCTTCGCTGGTCACCACCTTGGTCCAGTTGCGGAACTGCTACCACAAACTAAGGCGTTAACTTTATTTTTCCTCTTAATATGTATGCCATTTCATGTAACACCTCCTCTGCATTGATATTGCTACGCTGTATCTTAAACAGCAAAAATTGTACAGCACAAAACAAGACACTCAATTGACGGCAAACTACTTACTGCATTTTCAGGGTGGAAAATGTAAGATGCAGGGGAGTTATCCACTATAATTATTTTGCTCAACTCTCGCCCGAGTCGGCTGAGATCTTTCACGTAATTTCCTCTGTGAAAAACGCAGGATTCTCTGAAGAGTCGAGCCCTGAAAACCCCCCAGCGATCCAGCAAGTCCGCCACTGGGTCTGCATACTTAGATTTTACAAGAAAAGAGAAAAAAAGAGGGCGGGTTATAAAATTAAGACAAAATTAAGGCGCCTTTCCTTGTAAAAAAATCAACACCTCATGTGCACTTCTGTGCGAAGCTTTTCACCTAGCACTCTTAGTTAGAAGGTTCCATGCAGCTAATTTGGTCCCCGTCTCCTCCATGGATTTTCTTGGCTAAGAAAAGGGACAGAAGTTGTGGTGAGGAAAACTGGAGGGTTGTTAGGGGAAAAGAGTAATGTCTTGATCCACCCCCACAGAATCCCATGAATGAGGTAAGGCAATGGAATCGTACAAGCTTTTGCCCAAAAAGGTATTTTTACCGCAGCACCTTATCAAGGCCCACACTTCAGCAAGAAAGGTGACCGGAGGCCCAGGATGTCCCCCCCACCCCCAAAAGTAACTTTTTTTAACTCCAAAAAACCAATTTCTAGTACAAGTTCACAAATATTTGGGATACTTTTATGCTTTGTCCTAGTCAGCTAATAAATGAAGACATTCTGACTCTGTAAACGCACCGCGAAGTGCAGAGCATAAATAAAAATCAAGTAATGGACAACATTTATTCTTGAAAGATTATGAACCTGGCCCATTTAACCATATCAAAGCACCACTGATGATTATGAAAGAGCCTCAAATCTGAAAGAGGAAATTTCCAACTTAGTCCTTTGTGGTGTAATGTTTAAGTGCATCACTTTACCAAACCATTTCCATGCAAGGATAGAATTAGTTAGACAAAGTGAAAATACGTGTTGATTTTCAGGAGAATCCTGGACAGAAATGGCAGAGAATCTGTCCTCACACTTCCCCCCACAGGCCAGTCTGAGCGCATTGCTAACCTAGAATCTTGTAACAGATTCTAAGTGGGATCCCGCAACATCTCCAGCCAAAAAGGAAAACTTCTGCCCAGGAAGCCTTTAGGCAGCCTCTACCTGCAAGAAAAAGAAGCTTGCACAGGGAGAGGTAGAAAAGCATCACAAATAGACTGAATTTGCTTTGGGCTACTGGTGTAAGAAGGAACTAGGTTCTGCTCTGTACATCTTAAAATAGATTTCTTCACAGGCCGACATGAAGTAAGGCCCAAAGAGACCAACATTAACACTATTCAACTGTCAACTTTCACAGTAATAATTTAGACCACCCCAAGTTTGGATTGAAGTGTGGCACTGCGTATGATTCGGAGTTTCAGGAAGGGAAATTCAGAAAGCCTTCCTATTTGACTAGAGTGTTGAAGAATGGCAACATCAAAATGGCTCTAAACTCTGGATGATGGATTTACTGATAGTCTTGATCCCTCTCAAGAGTGTCCATTTGAGCATCGCAGGGAGAAAGGAGGAATGTCTAAGCAGTCCAGTGATAACAGATGGAAGGTACCTGAGTCCTGTTGGGAGACTCATTAGTTCAAGGACCCCAGCAATTTACCAAGGGGTTCCATGCTAGTTCACGGCTATTCCAAGTTGCCCACTGAATTTATGCCACTGAAGTCTTTCGCACTGATACCAGCATGCAGATTAGAAGGCCTGATATTTCTTTGCTTGGGGCTTTCCAAACAACCCTAGAATGATCAATAATGGATATGTAGTTTAATATTTATAGTCTAAATATTAAAATACATCTCCTATCACTTCTAAAATCCTGCCTGAGTAGCTCAATCACAGCATGAAGCAAATAATAAAATGCATGAAATTGAAATCACATTAGAAACTCAGCGAGACAGAGAGTTAACGGTTGCCCCTGCAATATTAGAGAGCCAAAGGCCTTCCCGAAAAAGGCAGCATCAAATGAATTTTCAAACTGTACTCAAACTGATGCTCGGCCATGCCATTTTGTACTGAAAGTCTATTTCATTGTTCTGGAGATCGTAAACCCTAGACCCTGTGGAAAGCAAACTTGCAGATAAATAGCAAAGAAAAATGGTGATGAATGCTGGTTCCTTCGTCCACAGAAAGGCCGAACCCCGGCCCCAAAGATGTTCCTTTTTAAGACTAGAAAGCCCAGACTTTGCTGCCTAAGCCACAAAAATCCTGTGCCTTTTAGAAACAGGAAGCGGATTCAGCAGGCAGCCTAAGTAGGCTGGTGAGACCTCCCAAGCACTCGTTGCAATTTGCACGAAATATGTTGAAGGGCAGAAATGGGGACAAATGACATCAGCCCTGGCTTCTCATTTCAAATGTTGGAGGAGACACACAACTTCACCTTCTGTTCCCCAGCCATGACACCATTCCTGCCTGGCATTGTCTAGAAATGAGTAGCGAGCATCTCAAACCTGGCCCACTTGCACTGGAATAGAACAGTTTTGCTGCAGATTTAATTAAGTGTGAAACACTCTGGTGGCTATTGGAGAGAAATGCAATTCATAGACAAAGGGGGGAAAGCTCTGCTCTCTGCCAAGAATCGCCCACACCTTTGCCCAGCAGAATGATCTTGCCTTAGGCAAGGAACGGGAACAACTGCTTCGCAGAGGCTGCTGTGGACAGAACACTCCTCTTCATTGACTTGAGCATGACACATCCCTGGTGGCACGTCCTCCCCACAACCCTTTGCTTTCCTCAGTGCTACCAAGTCTGTAAGAATCTGACTTCGTTCTGTACCCAGAAAAGCAACCGTTTGTGCTGGCTATCACCTCTAAGGACGCCACATCAAACGTCACGGGACAAACAGAACAAGGACTACTGCTGAGCTCACAAACAGGTTCCTAAGTCAGATGCACAAGTACTGATTCTTGCCTCCTCACCCCAACGTGGACCCCGCTACGTCGGCATCAGTCCCGCACCTTACAAACACGGTTCATAGAATGAAAAGGCTATTTCACCTAGCTCTGCTTTTGCATCCTCTGGGCTGCATGACGTCCGTACCAGCCTCGTGTTAAAATGGATCGGCTTGGCTTATGCCCAGCTTTGGGATACAACTTTGAGCAATAAACTATTTATTCCCACTCGTCTCCCCACCCGCCGATAACCATGGTAACTTAAAAAAAGCCTTTCACATTGGCATCCTGAGCAAGGCGCGGAGGATACATCAGGAGACAAGTCCATATGTGAGATTGTTACCATGGCAACACTTACCCACACACTATAGCAGACAAAAGTACACCCTGCCAGATAAAGAAACAGAAGAGAAGGGGGAGAAGATGAAGATAATTATTTTCTCCTTATTTGATATTACATGAAAAGAAAGTCCAACTTACAAATGGCCCTTGAAGGAGATTTCAGACATCACAAAGGGAGGGAATGGAGGGTGGGTGGCGGGAACTTGGCCTCCAGAAGCAGAGAGCATTTTTGGGGCCAACTTCGTTAAGTGCTCATTTGTTCAGCTCAATCTCTCCTTTGAAGCCCCGGGCAGCCGTCAAACAGTTCTAAGGAGCAGCCCTCCATATTGGCTAAGCAGCAAAGGTTCTCTTGCATCACAGAATGTGGGGGGATACCGGAGAGCAGGTAAAGCAGGAAGGCGCACAGAGGGACTGACCTACCTTTGCTAGACTGGCTGTGAAGAGCACACATTCAAAGAGCTCTCCCATCCTCTGGAGGAACTCATCCACGTGCGGCCGTTTTAATACATAGACCTAGACATTGGGGGAAGACGGGAAAAGAAGAGTAGCTGAGACTCAAGGCAGGAATGGCATACTCCATGGCGTGCTGTGACGACGGAGGATAAATCAGCAGAGAGGCCAGAAAGACAGATCCCATGTTGATGTTCTGTGCTTTAATCCAAATGGCAGAAGCATCATGGGTAAGGTTCTTTTGTAGGGCAGATAACTAGAGTAGAAAATGTACAGTGAGGCAGATCACAAGGTGTATGCATGCGCTTTCCCCCCAGTTTTTAAAAAAGGATCCATTTTTATTAGGACAAAAACACCCTCTTTCCTAGTCATGTTTCTTGACAGACAACGTGCAGGATTGAAAAAAATAAACCTTATTTTAAAACAAATGCTGCTATTGCAGATCTGAGCAAATGCATAATCCAAGTATGGAACCAGCCGTCAAAATGTCTTGTTCCTATAAAGGGATTCATTTCAAATAAAATAAAATAAAATAAAATAAAATAAAATAAAATAAAATAAAATAAAATAAAAATCCTTTCCCTGGGGAGCATTTTGACACTCCCTGTCCCAGTTGTTACTAAATATGTACAGCAGATATTAGTGCAGAATAGTAAGAATATTTAACAGTGCAGGTCCTTACCCATTTCTTTTCTCCAGTTCACCATCTACTACCGTCTGTTCAGTTACTAGGTTCTGCTACTCAAAACTACACAATTTATTTCTTAACTTTTCATAAGGAGCACCTTACTCCAGAGATTCCTGCCCATCACCGAACGTCAACAACTGAGCCCCCCCCCGACCCCACAAGTTCCTTTCCCTAAGACGGCATGGAGGGGGGCTGTTTCCATAGTGGAACCCCAGTCATGGAACCCTCTACCACCGAGATTCATCCGGCGCCTGCCTTGGTGAGCTTCAGGTGTCTAACAAAACCTTTTCTCTTTCAGCATCACTTAGACCATCTATATTATGCACAGGTTTTGATATATTATTTTATGTTTTATTTTTACTTGACTACGCATATTGCAATTTTATCTTCATCATTTCAATTGTTAAAACATATGATCTGGCCTGGGCAACTTCTTCTTCCTTCTCTTTCTCCTCCTATACTTTTATTTTATACTGATAATTTTAATTTTGTATTTGTAAATCAATGTATTTTTTGTATTGTTATATTTAATGGTAATTTATTATGTACTATTGTATTTCAATGTATTTTATCATGTTGTAAGCCGCCCCGAGGTTTCGGCAAGGGGCGGCATAGAAATGTTATAATAATAATAATAATAATAATAATAATAATAATAATAATAATAATATCTTGTTTTATTTATTATGATAATTTAATTGTATTATTTTACTTAATGTTAATAACAGTATCGTAAGAGCCACTCAGAGAGCATGATGCTAATGGGTGGCTTTCAAACAAAACTGATAAATTATTGTTAAGGTCTAGTGTTTTCTGTGCTGTCCCATCTCTTTCACAGACAAATTTCTGGCTAGTCTATTCTGCTTAGTGTGGACTGTTTGAGGGGAATGTTAATAACCGCCTTTATTAACTAGTTTCCCAAAATAACAGGACGTAGACCAAAGGGACAGGCACAGAGGGGAAGTAGGAGAAACAACTATGAAATATAGTGCTCTTTCATGCTTAATGGCCCCATGAACCCTAATATTCGCTTCACTAAATAAAAGAATATGAGCATTCCTATGCGAGATCAGACCAAAGGGTCCAACATTTTGTTCACATGCTCTTTGCATCTGCTTACTGGAAACCTAGCCCTCACCCACCCATTTTTAAAAAACACCCCTAGACATCAAGTTATCAAAACAATTTAAGTATTTGCCAGTTTTGGAGTATTTTTAAAATTCTCTTCAGAAAACTGAAAAGTCATAATTCGCCCCATTTAACCCTCAAAGGCAAAGTTCTAGACTCCGATGTGGTCAAAAACATTTTTGCATTTTTATGACAAAAGCTGACCAAAGGGCTATTTCAGGAATGTTGCTGGCTGCCACGGCTATTGCGGAATAGCTAGTTTAGATTGTATTCAATGTATTTGGGACATTTAGTGTCAAGGAACATTTGCTCGGGACAGGGTTACATCTGCAGAGATAGAAAAAAAGCATTAGAGCAGCATGCCCACTAGCAGAAGATCTTATGGTGGATCCTGGGATACGGGGAAGTGGTGAATGCAGCCCAGCCGCCCCAGCACCCGGTAGCCAAGTGCCTTTCTCTGCGGGCCTTCTTGCTGCAAGAGTCGGGAGAAGACGTGTGGACTCGAGGCTTCCAGCGTCCCGTTCACTGTGCTGTGGTTGCATCCCACTGCAAGTAATCAAGGATAGGCCATCAGGAATGTACACAGCCTATCCTGGATTACTTGAACCGGGTTACAGCCTCTTCCAGAAAGGCAGCTCAAGGAACACTGCACTTCAGGGAAAGAATATAGGCTCAGAGTCATCACATACTAAAGCCATGCATAGAAGTGTCCAAGGTTCGTCATTTCTCTGGTCTGCTTTCCCCTCCGCTCCCATTTGCTGGAGAAAAACACACTGTGTACCTTATTTTGCTCAAGGAAACAGGATCTTGTAATGAAGTATGGACAATTTTGCTGCGATACGAAGCCCCGTGTTTTCGGATATTGCTCACAGGCATGCTTTAATACGATCTACATTAGTCTGGCTGATCATCCCAGGCTGAAGACTTCGACATTCGAGAAATTCAACTCTCAAGCAGTCACTGAGTAATACAACTGTGGTGATCGTCCCCACTTTTGTGCAACGTCATTTTGCATCTCATATACCCCCTCACAGTTAAAACCCTCCGGCATTTTCAGACAATACTGCGTCTCTGTGCGAAGCATTTCCTAGCTATAATTAGATGCATTCATCAGTCCTTCTGGGTACGAATGCAGACTAGCTCACTGGGCAGGAAGGCAATGCCAGGTGGACATGATACTGGATAAACAAGCAATTAAACAGTTGCTGAAGATTCTTTAATATTCAGACTGCACAATCCTCCAGGCAGTTTCTCTGCAGGTCTCTGGAAGAGCCCCACTTCCTCCTGCAGAGGACAGGGTGGGTTCCTCTGCTTTTGGGGGAACAGTGCCATCTGTGAAAAGCATGTCTCCCCTTTGTATAATTCTGCCCTCTTATACATTTGGGACCGCTTGTCCCTGGAAGGCACTACACTGGAATGAGAGAAACCTGGTAGTATTGATATTTGTAGACAGCTAGTACCCAAGGCCCTATCAACATTACAAATGGACTTGGATTTGGAAGCTGAACTGGCTTACCCTAAAGAAACTTTGGAATTGAGCTTGGGTGGAGGATCTGTTGATTTTCTTAGCGAACCCCATATTTTCTCAGAGAACTATAGCTCCCATGGTCCCACGACTGAGGGGAATGACTACGCAACCCCACTGACTGCCGCGGTGTGGATAATTCCCGGAACATGTCTATCCCACCTCCTCACAAAAACTGCTCGAGCAGCTTGCAATAATTCAAAATGAATCAATTATAAATCGACGGCATCGAACAAGTGCTCAGAAAAACAAAATGGCCATGAACAGCCACAGTCCTGTCAGAAGAACAGCTAACTGGCAAATGTTTCTGCAGGGATCCAAGCATCACAACCCCTCAGAAAAGGCAAGGATACATGGCAGTGAAGGGTTCAGGATGACTGCCACAAACGCACGAGTTCACATGGGAAGGGGCAGCCTTTAAGATATTCCTTCGGCTTTCATGGACAGCAAAGAAGGGAAAAAACCCTGGCTGCTCAGATGAGTTCCTCTACTTCTGGATGACTTACATCCACTTCTTTAAAAAACAGTGGACAGAGGAAGACAGCGGTGAGTTCCAAGTGTGCCAACCAATATTTGAATGTTCAAACTGCCACCATGGCTTGGCATGTTGTTCCAAACTTGGGAGGATGGGTTGCTGGTGTGGCCGGTAAACCACCCGGAGCCCATACTTTAATAAGAGTTGCAGGATTTTGTTTTTGTTTTTAAGCACCTCAACCACCTACTTTTGCCAGGTTCAGATGACACAACAAGCTGCAGGTTAAATGTTCAGAATGCCTGCCCACCTCACAACCTTCCACGGCTTCACTAAGTGATGGGGGATGTCTGATTTGCATAATAGCCAAATGAGTTAGGAATATACACTTAATCTCTGTGCTGCTCTTCTAATGTTTATTTTGGAGCGCAAGTCATCTGTTCCATCTTTGATCCAAATGATTAACGATTTTGGATATTAATCTAGTTATTCTAGTCACTCATCAAAGTTAGAGCTTATGTCTATGGGGAGGGAGGATAATGCACCCAGAAATATGCTAACTGGCAGTTCACATTTATTACTTATCTAGGAATACTTGTCCCAAGATGTAAGTTACAGTTGAGTAAATTGACTAATGAGGTCTCAAGGGACATCAACAGATGGGGATCAATAAAGCTAAGCCCATGATGAAGGTATGCACTTAAAACAGCCTTCTCCAACCTTCTCCAATCAATGGCCCTACTGAATGGGAATTCTGGGAGTTGTGGTCCAAATGCCTCTGAAGGGCACCAGGCTGGGGAAGACTGACTTAAAATGAACTTAATACCTTGACTTGTTTATGTTTTAAACAGTATTCCTGTATTCATACCTGGCAAGTATTTCCTGAAACTTAATGTTTTGTTTTGTCAATTTTTATGGAGTTCCATTCTACCATGAATATCCCTAAAAAGGATGCAGCTTTTGATCATCTCTTCTCCATTTGTTTTGGCAATGCCCAATGGCAACTTCATTTTTGCACGGTGTAATTTGGATAAATCTGCTGATATAAATTTCTTTAACATTTAAGGAAGCACATGTTCTTTGGAAATTCCTACCCATTTCTTGGAAATTATGCAAGGTCAAAGCAAATTGATTCTCCACACCCTTTTGACAGCTAAAAGACTAATATTACAAAACTGGAAAGATTAAACTGTCATCTGCAATAACACAGTGAGTGAAGGATTCAATAAACTTTTCAATTTTTGAAGAGGTGGCCTTCAGGCATAATCTACAAATGGAGAAATATATGGATATTTGGGTGTCTTTGTTGAAATCTATGTGTAATTATTTAAAACAATGGTAGTACGTTATGTTATATACTAAAAATAAGGATATGTAATACATATGTACCAGCGCTCAAAAATTCTAATGTTTTAGTTCTGTTTTTCTTTGTCTAATGTTGTGGGTTGGCTGTTTTTGTACTGCACTATAAAAATAAATTTTGAAAACATGCGCTTGTGTGTGCACATACAGGTATGTATAAGACAGGAAGCCCAGATGTAAAATTAGTTAATTGCACCACTCAGTGAAATGCAGGGAAGGGAGCGGACCACCCATGTTGTAGGAGTTTTGTATAAAAGCAAGTATGTCTGAGACGATTTCCAAGGCCACACGGCACCTTTCTCCTTCTGGGATAAAGCACTGAAGGGTGCTCCGTCTGGGTGAGTTTGCATCACAAAGTGACCCCAACCAGCAAAGAAGCAACGTCATGTGGGTTGTTGGATTGGGCTCACCATGGATTGTCCCTCCCTCTGGTAGGGATCTGGCCGCTACACCCATGTTGCCTCCTTTCCCCAGTCTGATTGCAACCCTGTTTTCCCTTTTTGTCTTTCTTTAGGAGCTCTTTTGCGAGGCCATGGGGGACTGTCACGGGGAGCCCTTCAAAAAGACTCTGGAAGCAAAAAAGAGGGGCCAAACGGCAGCAAAGGAGAGAGAGATCACAATCGGGGTTGAGGAGAGCAAGCCAATGAAAACCCTTCCAAGCACCGCTCGGGCGCTCGAGAAGCGGCTGCCATGGGCTGCCGTGCGAGTGAGCTCAGAACTGGCAGCCGCTGCAGAGGGGCCTGCTGGGTGTTTCCCAGGATGCATGGCAGGATTGGCCTGCCAGCCCCTTGTGAATACAACAGCCCCTAGGACAACTCATGGTTTGTGGCATCAGGGCGGCTTGTTGTCCGCAAACAAGCCACCCTTTGGGAAGTGGCCCGAGTTTACACAGCACAACAATCCGCTGTGGCTAATTACTCAGCCTGTGCAGAGGGACATTATCTGTTGGGAATGTGGCACACAAAAGCATTTTTGGAAGGGGGCATACAGAAGCACAGGTAAGGTTAAAAGAAAGAAGTGAATGCTACAGTTTTGCTTTCGCTACAGAAAATCACTGCGAGATATCCATATCGGAATGCATCTTTTTCAGGTACCTCAATAGCACATGGGAAAGGAAGAGGTTTTCAAGGTTTCACTGTCAGATAAGACAAGAGAGTACAAACAAGGCTGTCTTTTAAGTTAGTCTCTTGTGCACTGAATTAAGTTCTGTTACAGACCAGACAAGCTCTCTCTCTCACACAATCGCTCTACTTAATAAAAAAAGAAAAACCAAATCAGGTGCTAGTTTTGCCATTCCTCCTGAAACTTTAGTGACAACTTTCATGTTTTAGTTAATAGTTAAGCTATTTCATACTTGAGTTCAAGGATTTTCAAGTGAATGCCATCAGATCCTGGTGACATGCAACTTTTAGTCCGTCAATTAATTTTCAAACTTCATCCTTTGTCAATGTAATTTGACTGTTCTTATCAATCCATTATTTTCTGTGGTGAAATTTTATTGGAGAATTATGTCACATACTCTCTCTCGGGCTGGGGTCATTATTTGGGATCACAACGTACATATGCCTCTACATGATAGTAAAGTACTTTTGACATGCTCAGAAATAAGATCAAGAGGGCAAGGGGGACCTCCATTTTTAAAGAGTTGGATGAGGAAAGCAGGTCATCATCAGCATGCACAAGTTAAATGGGAAAGTAGTAGCGATGCTCACCTGGTGTATCGTTCCATCAATTTCAACTGGGACAATGAAATCAGCATTGCCAATTGGCTAGAAAAGTACAAAAGAGACCAGATTTAGAGAAGCAGAACAATTGGTACTATGACAGCTCCCTCGCTAAGAGGAAAATGAAAAACTGAAGACCTTGGTGGAAACTTGTACGGAAAACGTGTTTGGAACACCTGCCCATGAGCTGGAAAAGTCTCCCGTTCAAACACTTGCATACTGACATACACCCAAGCGTATTGCACAAACATCCTTGTGCCTTCGGCTTTATCAGGGCAGTCAAAGCGCATGTGCCCCCACTGGCAGGGAAAGGCTCTTGCATGGCCCCCACAAATCAGTCCACCAGGTGGAGCAGAGCAGACCCGTCCGTCTCAGGCGGATCTCTGTGCTACTGAAGAAGCACTGCATGAAACGACAGGCCGGGGCTGCCCATTTCTACCTGGCGGCGGCAGATCAACGAGCGGGGAAAAAGAGCAAGCCGCTGGGCTACACTATCCCCTGCCAGCAAGTCGCCTGTAGTGTGACACGCAAGTGGATACTGATGGTCGGTATGGATGTGGTCTTATTTCTTCTTCGGCAGTCTCTCCTGAACTGGCGCCTTGCAGATACGTGAGATATCAACCCTCAGCGGCTCTCAGCAAGCACAGCGATGGTTCCTGGGGGCATTTCCTGGGGAACGCAGCCGAGATGGATGCGTTTCCAGCCCTGCAGGCCTCCCTTTCCCCAAAGACTTAGAATGAGTTGCAAGAACTCTGAGGCATCGTTTTGCTTTTTCAAGGAAGAGAATGGCATCTTTTCCCAGAAAAGGACTTGTGGATGTAAAGTGCGTGCCTAGCGAGCCAAATTCATGAGGTTAACTGCATGAAATCTGCACTGATTCAGGCCTGGATAATGCAGGCAGGAGAACGAGGAAGCAGTGTGGGTCATGCCACTTCAGACTGCAAGGGGGGAATGCTGAAAGCTGCCATTTAAGAATATCTGCAAATCGCAGTGGGGGACCAAGGGGAGGGAAGTGTTCCAGAATGCTCCATCCTGTGCTACTTTGCCACACACAGGGAACCCCCCTCTCCCCATCTTTTTCTTCATATAAATTCAAAAATAGAATTTCCTCTTCCACCACAAGACTAGACCCAGAAACATAATGAAATTACTTAAGGCCAAAGCTAGTAGCTACATGCTTTCTTTTTCACTCTAGAGTAAGCCAAGGGCTTCCTGATTTTGAGTGGGACCTCAACTGGAGGGGGGGGTAGGTGCTTATAAGGTTCAGATGACTCCCCACCCTGCCCCTAAAAAGTAGAGAAAATTATTTAAAGTAGTATCTCCTTTTACCCAAGTCATAAGGTTGGTCTTTTAGGATTTTTGTTCTTGCTTAACTAGAACAATCTTGTTTGAAAAGGGGACCTTTTTCTTAATTTTTAAAAAGATACCTTGGCTTTTGCAAGGGTGGAAGGAGTTCAGAACTCAAGTAATACTTCTAAGAATTTTATTTCTCCTTTCTCTGAGCTCTTTGGATTATTTGTAAACCAGCTGACAAATTTATTAGTTGCTGGCATAAATATTTCTATGGCCCATATAATCATAACATTATTTCTTAGAAGAAATTCCAGTTTGAGAAATAGTGCTGAAATGATCTTTTCCAAAAGTGACATCATCCGTAGGCTTTGAGCCTGCTCTGCCGTCCCCAGTGATATTAATTTGTATCAATATGGTCAAAATAGTCATGCTTTTTCAGTTATTTCAGAACGGCTAGCTTATTTCGCTCCACCGCAGAGCTCAAGTGAACTGGGTACACTACAAATTACCTGCTTTGAAAGCAAAGTCAACAGAATTTGGTGATTACATGCTGGCTGAACTATGGAATTCACTACCACAAGATGTGGTGATGGTCACCACAGTTTACAAAATGGATGAGGCAAAATTCATGGAGAAGACGACTATCAATGGCTCCTAATCATGCTAGTTGCCTGTGCTGCCTCCAGTACAAAGCCAGCATCCTCTGAGTATCTGCTACAACAGGGGAAGAGGGTTTTGGTGCCCATGTCCCACCTGTGGACTTCTCATCAACACCTGGTTGTTCTTGGTGACCAACAGAACATGGAGGCAGCAGGTTCTTTGATGATTTGGTGTGATCTCCCTATATAGACCCCATCAGCTCATGATGCATTAAGGATATGCATGCGGTTGGCATCATTTTGGCGGGGTGTGGGGGATCACTCATTTAGGAATAATGAATCAAGAAACAATTAAGGAACAATTTATATATTTAAGAAGATACATGTAGTCTTTCACGTTTGCAAGATTCCCAGGACAGCTCATAAAGAAGAAACAAATTAACTGAAATAATACATTAGATTAAGCCAAGAAACCCTAGTATAAACACAGGTTTGCTGGAGGGAAAATAACATGGTAAAATCCAGAAAAAATGCGAGTTTAAAGCCAGCCAGATTATGTCCTGAAATGAACATCTTTGCCTAGGGCTGGAACATCTACCAGTTCCTCTTCTTGAGGAAGGAATTTCACAAGCAGGGCTTTGCAACTGAGAAGATCTTTGCGACGGAGGAACCTTGTGCCTACCCTACTCTTTTGGATTAACTCTACAGCCATGGGCAGAAGAATGTCCCACCACTGCGTTTTCCACAGCGGACCTTCTGAACTCTGAAAAAAGGCACCTTGACCCCGAGAGCTCTTCCCTGTGATCACAGGAATTGTGATATTCCTTCAAGAGAGCACCTTGCTTTTCACAGGGAGACACAAATAGCTACTGCTTTGTCAGTAGTAACTAGAAATGGAAAGCCTTTAATGTATTTTGTCACAAGAGTGAGCACGTTTTTAAAAAGAGGAAGAAAATGTCTCTTTCAAAATGATGCCAGGAAGAATGGAGGTCCTTGTCTCCCTTGGGTTTGCACATTCCCGTTTTCTCTCTAAGTGTGCGTACGAATAACAGAATGACTTACCAGAAAATTTCCTAGGTCACAGCCAACTTCATCACGTACTTGAAATTTAGTAAGCTTAAAAAGTGAGTTTTTTCAAAACACACACACACAAACGACTCAACCAACAGATTGGGTCACACATGCATGCCCAATGAACCTGAATTTTCATCACCTGATTTATGACCACTTGATGGCTCCACTGAAATGCATTGAGCTCTCAAGCAACATGGATGTTCTCTCTGTAATGGTTATTCACTTTATTACTAAATGTTATGGTCACTGGTTGACGAGTTTAACACAGGGAATAGTTGCCGCTCACCTTTGAACAGGTGCCCTGTCTCTAGAACAGGTGGTCTTCTGAATGGGATCCTGATGTGCAACATTTCATAGTACACTTGGGAGGGAAAGTGGGGACTTGGGTAGGGTTGGGCACACGTGTGTGTATCTGTCCACTGAAAAACTTACACCCCCCCCCCACACACAAGACAATCGCACAGTATTCTCAATCACATACATACCTTGAAGGAACTGTGCACTAGTGTTTCATCTAGATCAATGACCACACATTTCTTCCCATAATCAGATATTGTCATTTCTGGCAAGAGGTATTTAGCTGGGGGCTAAATAGAAGACACAAAGACGCCATGAGATATTAGAAATATATGCCTATGGACGTTACAAGTAACTAGTGACAAAGCACACATCATTAAGCTATGCGGGTAGCGAAACAACTGGACACATTGCGTTCTGTGAAAATTCACAGAAATCAGATCTCCAAACAAGATTCCAAAGGTATACGAGGGGACCCCACTTCCGAAGAGGGAAGGGTTCTTTAGGAATAAATAACCTTCATGGAAACAAGTCCTTCTGTCGCTGGGTTTACACAAGACAACCCAAGGCTAAGTGTTGGTTGGTTGTTGCCATACTACACTTCACTGAGTTGTACAGCCCAGCTGTGCCAGCAAACATGGTTTGTTAACCACCAGCAACCCAGGAAGAGAGCTTTGTGGCTGGGTTGTGAACTGTGTGCTGCTTGCAGTTAACAGATCGTGATTTGCCAGTGCAGCTGGGACACACTATTCAACAAAACATAGTTGTATTCACAGAGCACAACTCCCCACAGTTCAATGGCAACACACAACCCAGGCGTGTGGGTTGTTGCGTTGTGTGAACCCATTCACTATCCTCCAGAAAAGAGACTGTACTAAACTAATACAAGTGTAACAAATTTAAGGATTTAAAAAAATGAAACATAGCAGAAATGATCTAAAAGTTCTAAGGTTCTGCTCCACAACAAGTCTTCATATCATTTGGCAGTTCTATTATTCTGAGGATGTAGGATGGGGATAAATAGCTCCCAAACACAAATTGGGGCAGGAAAACACAAATTAGCTACCAGCCTTCCCTGGGATCCATGCTTTGCCTCTGCTGTTGTACTCCATTGATCTTGCTCTATCTCTACTCCCCTGCAAATACAAGGGTGAAAGGGAAGTGTTGGTTTGGCAAAATCTTTTGCCCCACCAATGTTTGGGAAGATGATTTGGTTGCGAAGAACTTGGGCTTTTTTTTCCCCCAAGGGCAAGGGCTATCTTTTCATGCGGCTTGGCTCTGAAATGACAAGTTTTATGCAGAAAACTAGTTTCTATAGAAATCTGGAACAGCCAAATCATGTACTGTTTCCTCATATAGTTGGAACCATGTCAGGGCTGAAAAGAACAAACACATTTTCCAATGAATCAGGTGACTGGTTTTCGTCTCACCCTTATTGCACATCGCTACAACCAAATGGAAAGTTCTATATTAGTGACAGATGAAAATTTCTAGTTAATTTCTTTATGGTTTTACAGCATACTATGTACTTGGGGTGCCTTACATGTCTGCAGATCTTCTGATTGTTTTGGACTTCAATGCTCAATATTGCTGACTTCCATATAGCCTAAAGTGCCTGATCCTGCCTAATCTCAGAAGCTAAGCAGGATTGAGCCTGGCTGAAATCTGGCTGGGTGAACTTAAATGCTATGAACTGCCCAGGGAGCTTCTGCTATGGGTGGTATTGAAATGTAATGTAATGATAAAACTAGCTAAGCTTGCAGACACACCTGGGAGATCTGGGGATCCATTTTCTGCCCACATGAGAATGGTCAATACAGAGGGTAAATTACAGCCTCTAAGAAAGACAAGCACTCCAGCCAAAAAGAAGTGAAGTGCCAGGCATCTCTAAGAGGTCATTTTTACCCCTTGGAGGAAGTGTGAGAACAATTCTGTGTTGTAAAAAGGATAGTGGAGGAACAAGCTCAGGCACTTACTACCTGAAACTCTGCGCACAGTACCTGTTGTTTGGGACTTAGCAACCCCATGTCAAAATTTGCATTCGGCACTCCAAAAACATGCCAAATCTTGTTAGAAGCCTCAGCGAGCCAAGAAGGCTTCGTAAGAGTAGCTGAACAAGCTAAACTCCGAGAGCCACTTGGGACGTTACGGGTTCAGGTGGGAATGTGGCAAATATGCTCAGGGATGCCTTCCTCACGGGGGTGGAATGGGCGGCAAGTCAACCTGAGGTGACCAACTGCTGAGAAGCCCCCACTTTCTGCCCTGTGGTGTGTGCAGCACAGAAAGGGAAGAGTTTGAGATTCAAGAGGGCACGGAATTGCTGTCAGAATGGGAAACGAACAGGGCATCATTAACGGAAGAGCAGCGAACTTAACTGGAACTGGAAACCTAGCTTGAAATAGTTAGACAAACACCCAATTCATAGCAGAAAGATTAAAACGGCACATACATAATATTTATCTACACTGCCAGGATTTCACTGCTGGTGGCCACCAAGTGTTTGCACATGTATTTGGGTATGAACTGCCTTTTGTTCTGGCAGTCCTAACACAAGAAGGGTTAGTCCAGCGGATAAGGCTAGTGTTGCTTTGCGGAACACTGCATGAAGATGCATTTTATGCCTCTGTATAGCCAGCTACACAACTATGATTCCACACCCCGCTGGAGAGTTGTAAGATGTTATCAGTTGGTAGAAAGGAACAGCCTTTCCCTACAGCGTGCAACACAAAAACACATCCGTGAGACTTTACATAAGCCTGCCAATCAAGCCAACCCCAAACATAAGAGCATTTGACAACTAAAAATAAAAGAATAAAAATACATACACTTGGAATGGGAATGACCTGCGTCTGGTCACCCTGGTGGGGGGCAAAGGGAAAAACAAGTCAATATAAGAATAGGGCATTTCAGAAGAGAACAGAAAAGAAACTGAAGTGAAGTACTCAACTGAAAACCATTCCAACAGAAATTCAAAAAGGGTTTTAAGAAAGCAGTTAAACAAAAAGAGGATTTTGCACTCCAGTCGTTTCAATGATTGGGGGGAACAAGAGATTTACAAGAACAACAAGCGAGATCCTTCGCTAGTCATTTCTATATTCCCAGTGGATACTTCTTGCAAGTACTATACAAAATAATAAGTTGTTTATTTTATTTAACAATATTCATGAATCAAATATGTTAAAAGACCTTTCTAAGTGGTGCACAAAATAAAATAGCATGAAATCATAATGAAATGCTGCACATTATTAGCATGTACAACAGATCACATTTACCTGCTAAAAAGTATGTTTAGAATGAACCGGAGATATAAGAATTGGTTATTTATGAACTGGACCGCCAAACGCCAGGAGACCATCAAAAGAGTATTTCTTCGTGAGCTTAGCAACTGAACAGACAGGTGAAGTGTCAGACAGTCTCTTAAATGGCTCAGGGCTCAGTAAACAAGTTTTTCACCCCTGAATTACTGCTATTCCTACACCTACTCTGAAGATCCAAGACAAGATGCATTTTCAACCGTTCACTACAATTTCTGAATCATCAAGAGATTCAGGATACTACAGCACCGTTGTACTAAGTGAACAATCTGGTCTGCATCTGATGCGCAGCCTGTCTGTGTTGCACCTTTTCCTCTAACATGCCTGCCGTTACTTCATCACGTGTGGCCTGCACGTGGCCCTCAGCCACATTCTGTGCGACCGGCAAAGTGCCACCGATGTTTCCCCACCAAGAAGGTTGCTTGGCAAACCCTTTGATCTGCTTGCACCCTGGTCAAGGACTGCTGTTTTGAAACAGCAACACAAATCGGGATCACTGGGTGGGGAAGAGGCCCCCTGCCTCAGCTATTCCATGGTGGGTGGGCTAGGAACAGTGTGATCTTTCCCTCCCCACTGCAGTGGGAAAGTCTGGTCGATGTGGGCATGATCCCAGGTTTCAGAGGACTTCTCTCCACTGGTATCAGCACAGAGGACAGGGAGAGTTAAACCTCCCCTTCTCTGTGCACTGAGATGTGGGTGAGTGGAAGAGTGCTGTGAGCCAGAATGGGGTGGAGGTCAGAGTGCTGGACTGATGGACCAGGAGATCCAGGCCGTGGGCTCACCGGGGGACTTTGGGCCGGTCCCTCACTCTCAGCCAAGCACAGAGTTGATGTCAAGAGGAGGAAACAGTGCTAAGGAAGCTGCCTTGGGTTCCTCCCACTAGGCAAAAGTGGGCTATAAATACAGTGCGATGACGATGATGATATACTAATTAGGGCAGACACACACAATCTGTGCACCACCAGTGGATCAATAAATCATATTTAAACGCAGCTTCTTTGAGACTGCAACAAGAAGGCTGCTCATCCGTCTCCTGGCAAATTGGAATACCTGGTTGGGGAAGCTACACATGATTTGGCTGGTCACAAGCTGGACAGGCCTGGATTAGAGGACGATCCCATAAAATGCCACAAGTTGGCTGCCGGGACCAAAGAAATGCTGATTCTATCAAAGTGTGCAAAGAGTATCGTTAAGGAGAAAAGCTACTGAACACATACATGTCAGTCCAGTAGCTTGCTAGCTACTGTTTGTTCGGTTTTCTTGAGACTTTTGCAGCATTTCCTGAAGAGCTGAGTCCTCCTCTCAGTTCTGCTTCTTGCACGTTACCAGCCAACACCACCAATTTCTCTGCACGATACAGTCAACTGGTGACAATAGGGGTTGTGATTCTGCGGAACAACCCCCCCCCCCCACTCTGCACGTGCACTCAAATAGTGTGCACATAACTTCCAAGAGGCGGTCTCCTCAGAATTCCTAAGCTGCTCCTTAAATGTCTTATATTAGTCTGTGGAGCTGATAAAGGAACAACTAGAAGAAATACGGAGAGTGACAGCAGGTGTTAGGTGCAAACTGAGAGCTCGTTTAATCCAGCTGTGATAAAACTTAAATTACCCTAAATTACAATGAACTCAGAGTGCGCCATTAGCCAGACTAAAACTGCAGCGCAAATGACGGTTTAGAGGAAATTAACTGGTCAAGTTACTTGACGTCACAGCAACTTTTTAGAAATATTGCATTGCATTGATAGCCTGACTTTTTTTCCCTCTTAGGAAGAATCCAAGGCAGCTTACATAGCTCGATTTTATCCTCGTAACAACAACCCTGTGAGGTAGGATAGACTAAGAGTGTGTGTCTGGCCCAAAGTCACCCAGTGAACTTCATGGCTGACTGGAAACTAGAACCCCGGTCTCCTAGGTCCCCAGGCCAACACTCTCACCACCACCCGATACTGGTTCTCAACCTGCTATTAGAAGAAATCAGGAAAGAAGGAATAGAATCTGAAGCAGCAGCAGCCTATATCCCGCGTGCTGCAAGACTGCTGAACCTTGGCTTGCCGACTGGATAGTGTGACTGACAAACCGAAGACAATTTCTGCGTTAAGTTGTGCAACTAGTAGAAAGATTATATTCCTCAACAGCCTCAAATTGGGCTGCTGGGTTGGATCCAGACCTAACTATATTGCGGGAAGACCCACTAAAATCAATCCAAATTTGACACGACTACCACTGTTTTCGGCAGGTTTACTTTAAGTGTAACTAAACCTGGATCCGCTGTGGTTTTTTTTCAAAGGAAAAGGAAATAACTGTTTGATTAAATAGAACAATCTTTATATTCATGACCGCAGTTTGTTTTTTAGTGCAGGGATTCCAACATAGGTGGCTGCATATACCTTGCAATGGAGGGTTTATTCACATATGTAAAACAAGCGAGCCCCACAGATGCGTACCTTCTGAAGTCCGCCATTCTCTTCCACCAATGGAGGAAGGACACCGGTGCTGTTGGGAGATGGTGGCTCAACATTGTAGTCACGAAAGCAGCAGAATAAAGTGCTAAAGATGCTTCGACTCCTCTGCTTCTTCAAACTGAGATTACATTGGGACACTGTCAAGGAAAGAAATGATTGAATAGGGGTGTGAGGACTTTCCTGACTTTTTAAAAGAAAAGATCCATTATTTCACATCTGTGCTACTTTAAACAGAACAGCATAACATGGAAGAAACAAAGGGTATTAAATTTGACGGTCTGCTCCATTTGACACAAAAAGTTGAACTTCTATAGATGTTGCTTTTCTATTTGTAAGCCTACGGGTGAATTCCAAGGTAGAACTAGGAAATGCTGATATGTCTTTTCTGGAAGATTTCTTGGTGAACACATGGCCATTGCCTGGCTATGGCAGAAGAAAAGCCTAGAGCTTCTCTGTCTACATGTCAAAATGTGTGTGAAGAAGTTCTTGGGGTTCTTAAACAATGTATAACAAAAATTAAGATTCAACAGCTGACTGTGACAAACTATGTAAGAATGTTCTCCCTAGGTCCCATTTGGGCAAGAAGTTTGAGTAGGCGGTACGGAGCACTTGTTCCTCTGTATTCCCTTAAAAAAAAAATCTCCCAACCATAACATCCAAACTGCTGACAACATATTTGAAAGGCTGCTGGAAAAATATAATCAAGAGTTCCTCTCAGGGAACACATCTGACTATGGATATGTGATCTGCATGTACAATTCCAATATTACAGCTCTGATTTTCTGAGCCCAGATATAGGGAGATTTAGACCTGGTTTCCTTCGAACATGCCTTCCTCATTTTGGGACCTGCCATATGATTTCAACAGCAACGCCTGGCACTCTTGACCACTAGCCACGCTGGCAGGAGGTGACGGGAGTTCATGTTCAAAACATCTGGAGGGCCCCAGGTTGGCGAAAGCTCCTTCAAACACCGTGCCATAGGACTGGCTGCTTCTGAAAGCAAAGGGAGTTTCAAAGCCAACTTGTGACATGGCTTGGGGGAAGACGGGTATATCTACAGCTGTATGAAAGTAATGAAATCCTACACAGATCACACAAGCTCTGTGTAGGAGCTTATGCCCTCCTCTTCAGCCACCTGACCCATCTATTTGGGTACATGCTTTGAACACGCTCACAGAAATGGGTGCTGCGGGCACCCGGATTCTCACACTGGAGCATCTACTAGGGCACTGTGGTTGTAAGTCCAACACAAGCATATCTGTCTATCAGGGAGGTGTGCGGCTGACATGATAAGTAATCAGGACATCCAGTGAACCCACATGGTTCCTGTTTACAGGAGTTTCTGCTGTGGCACGGAAATGGATCATGCCAAAATAGCAAGCCTATTAGAAAGGTTTGTATGAACTGTCCTAAGATCACTGGATCATGAGGCGGGCAGTCTTCTGTAACTCTGATGCGAGCTTTGAAGAATGTTTACTGCAGCTATGTTCAAACTTTCCACCCGCGTTAACTTGCACAGGGGATTCTGTAACGACATGTAGGAAATTCAGGGACTCGTTCTAGGATGTGCAGGTGGCGCAAACTGGGCATTGGCCAGACTTATGCAATGCCAGGTAATTTCCATAAGGGGGATGGACAGGGAGGAGAGTGCCAAAGCACCATACCTTTCTAAGAGGGCACTGTAGAATCCGGCTTGCAGGCGTTCCCCTCTGAGCAAAATGTTGCAAAACCTTATGGAAACACACCGAATAACCTGCCCCTGGCTTTGAAAAGAACCAGCGATATGCCTGCTTCAATGTATATATCCTGGATGCTCTCAACATATACCTCACTGCAAGCACAGGGTTGTGTCCCATGCTCTCCTGTGACTTGTGACAGAGTTTCTGAAGAATCTTGGGAGATGGCATTTTTCCTGAAAGTACCAAATACAGTTTCCCTGATTATAGTAACCCCCCTTCCCGTTCCAATATTTCTCAAGGGGTGCATTTTAAATCTTGTGGCACCTCTTGCAGTTTGAGCCTTAACCCTCCACCACATGGCTACAAAAATGGTTTTAACATTGCCATCTAGAGTCAAGTCTAGCATATGCACACTGCTAATGATGATATCCTGTGGCTAATTAAATACAGATTGCTCTCCATTTTCTTTCATCTAATATAGAAACCCATTGATGCCTTTTCTAATGATGAAATAGATCATTAACTGCAAATATTTAAGAGTTGGGGGGGAGGTTCAATTTGCACAATTTGCACTGAATTACAAAACCTGGCCGCAAATGAACCTCATGTATAGGAGAGACAGTTGTTTCCACTGTAAAGTCAGAGCTCTGAAATCAGACTTTTGAGTTGTGACGGTAAAACTAAAAAGTGCCATGTCTTCTCCTATACACATAGGATGGGAGCAGGGCCGGCTTTTTCAAGATTCTGGCTGAAAGTTTTGAATGAAAATGAACACTGCGGAAAGCAATACAAGGCCAGGATATTCGACCAAATCCACATTAGGGCTTTAAATACATCATTATCCGTTTCAGTAGTTGAAAACATGCATGCTCTCTGCAGACCGCTACCAACAGAAAGCGTACTCCTTTTACAAATCGCCTTCCTGAAAGGAGATGTGACAGGTAAATCCAGGCATTGGAAGATGGACCATCATCGTCAGACCATCCACTTCCTTGGTGTCGTGCCTGCTGGACAATGAGGGTGAACAACTCTTACGAATTCTCTTTTAGGGGAAGAAAAACCATAGCTGAGCATGTTCAGTGGCACCATAGCTGAGTGAGTGGCACAGTCGATAATTCTAATGCTTTCCCTCCTTCCCCTGAAACTGGCATTGTTGTAAGAAGTGGGATTTACCTGTTCAGGCATGGAGACTGCTCAGGTTTCCCTGGCTTCAATTACAGTAAGAATATGAAGGGATAAAAGGTGGTCCAGCTACTGTGCTTGCTCAAAAGACTGTTCTGTGTGGTGGGGTGAGCGGCTATGGATTTAAGGAATCAAATAACCCTACTCTGAGGAAGGCAAAGGTGCTGGAAAAGGTTACCAGGGAGCTCCAGTCAAGCAGATCAGCATTTTATGAGAGGAGCAAAGTCTACACAGTGGCCGTGAGTGGAAAGGATGAAGAAAGAAATCTCTTCCCCACTGATTGTACAGACACAGTCACTGCTCCAGTGTGGTCAACAAGGCAAGCTCTCCACCAGGATATACTGCTGTGGATGAGCTACCACTGCACACAGTTTTGCTTTGTTTTAGTCTTCCTATTCAGCTGGAGTTGACAGAAAAGATCTACTCAGCGCATGCTAAATGAACTGTTGAAATTTGTTGATAAAATGCTTGTAAGGTAGCTTGTTCGTGTGTTTGCTTCTTGCCTCGGGCATGACCCTCTTCTTATACAGGGAAAAGGTAGCACACAGTACCAGCTTTTTACCTCCAATCCCCATGGCTACGATTTTGGGATTCCTTTAGCACATCAACAGCAGTTAAACTTCTCAGTTGTGCTTTCCCAAACTGAAGGGAAACTTGCCTGCACATTGGTTTTCATGACTGCTGCAAACATCACTCAGATCTACAGGAAAAGGTCAAGCAGTCAGGAATTCACATGATATAAGACTGACTAATGTAGCAACAGAAGGAAGGTGACTATTCCCATACGACAGACCTGCTCAACCACAGATTTTCATGAGGAATCTAGATGGCCTCATCTTCCACTTGCAGTCCTCCAAAGTTCTCCTGCTGGTTTTCATCTTTTTTCTTATCAAGGAAAATGTGTTTAATAGTTATGCAATGGTTTTTGATTAGTTCTTTGAGGAGCCCTCTATCTGGAAACACCCTGAAGAAGTACAGCACCTGACAAATTCGCAATAGCAGAACTTTTTCAAGCATTAGGACATTTCATTGGAAACCAAGGCCAAGATTTTCCATGTTATTGAATTCCTGATCACTATGGATGGGTGTGAACGCTAGAAGTGAAGGGAGTAGACAGAAGAAAAATGGGTGCATTCGAAACACGGTGTTGGAGGAGAGCTTTGTAAAGACCTTGGGCCAACAGAAGGACAAGCAAGTGCCTCCTAGATCAAATCAATGGAAGAAAAAATGACAAACTGAAGCTGTCTTGCTTAGGGCCATCACAAGAAGGCCAGACCCTGCAGAGAAGACAAGTATGCTGGGGAAACAAAAAGGCAGAAGTAAAAAAGGAAGTCCAACTATGAGATGGATCCATTCTATAAAGGAAACTACAGCCTTGAGTTTACAAGAGCTCAGAGAGGCTGTCAAAAACAGGACAATCTGGAGGGCTTTCATTCATACGGCCACTGCAAGTTGGCAAGGACTTAACAGTACATAACAACAGAAAGAACTCCTGGTGGGTGGTTCCAAATTATTACGTGAAATACTCATGATACAACTTTTGTCTTCTTCTCAGAGAATATATTGCAACCCCTCAGACATTCCCCTGGAGATCTTTCAAGTTGAAAGGCCATATTGATGGACAGTACTTCTCGCTACAACTCTGCCTACAGTGCTCTCCTTTCCCGACACACTTTTACAGGACTTCAAATATTCATCTGCTAAAAGTGTGGAACAGCGGCCAGGCTAAGCAGAGAACTCTCCTGCAAAACTCTGCCTATAAGTGTATCCAAAATGTTCAGGAAATAACCATTCTAGTGGTAAACATATTAAACGAGGGGAACACTGCCAAATACAGTTCACGTGTATGAGCATGTATGCTGCTTACAAGTCCAGTTGACAAACTGGCTTTGTCAAATGACCCCCTAGGTTCCTATTCTTTTAAACCTGCTCTTAAAATGACACAATGGGCAGATGGCACCATAAAACAATGAATAAAGAATTACGGATAAACATAAAAACCAATGCATGGTATCAGTGGGTAGGATGATACACAGTTGCTTTGTACAAAAAGGCAGACATCTACATTAATTGACCAGGAAAACCGCAGCCATGAATAATAACTTCCACTATGTAACCCAAACACCCTACTCCGTTGTTTTGTGAACTGCTACATGTCTTGCCTCTTTCTGTAGGCAGGCGGCTAAGGAAAGGCCAAGTTTGCCGAAGGCCACTGTGTCGACTCAAGGAAGCTTCTGGGTTACCAATCACTCAACCTACACTGTATAAATGCCAT